TGTTATATAGAATAGCTTTTGACACTTTCAAGATGGGTTTCCAGAAAAATATAATGAGTGTGTTTTCTTGCATAAGTCTGTTTTCGAAGAAAATCAAAAGCGTGTAAAGAATGTTAGACAATTTTTTAGGATGACTACCCTAAATTGAAACTTAATCTTCCAAGACAAAAAAAAAAAAAAAAAACAAAGCATAATCAAAATCTATAAGAAAATTCATTGACTATAGCACCAAATAGAGTTCATTGTCTACAAAATAGAGAACAAAGATAGCTTGAAGCATTTTCAATAATTCTATCAAAGAAAGTGTTAAATGTGGTATCATTATAAAACACATGTTATATAGGATAGCTTTTGGCACTTTCGGGATGGGTTTCCAGAAAAATAAAATGAGTTTTTTTTCTTGCATAAGTCTGTTTTCGAAGAGAATCAAAAGCGTGTAAGGAATGTTAGACAATCCTTGTTGAGGATGGCTATCATAACCTGAAACTTAATCTTCCAAAACAAAAAAAAAAGCATAATTAAAATCTATAAGAAAATTCATTGGCTATAAAATCACCAAATAGAGTTCATTGTCTACAAAATAGAGAACAAGGATAGCTTCAAGCATTTTCCATAATTATATCAAAGAAAGAGTTAAATGTGGTATCATTATAAACACACATAAGTTATATAGGATAGCTTTTGGCACTTTCAGGATGGTTTCCAGAAAAATAAAATGAGTGTGTTTTCTTGCATAAGTTTGTTTTCGAAGAGATATAAAAGCATGTAAGGAATGTTAGATAATCCTTGTTGAGGATGGCTATCATAAATTAAAACTTAATCTTCCAAAACAAAACAGAAAAAAAGATAATTAAAATCTATAAAAAAAATTCATTGGCTATAGAAATCACCATATAGAGTTCATTGTCTACAAAATAGAGAACAAGGATAGCTTGAAGCATTTTCAATAATTCTATCAAAGAAAGTGTTACATTTGGTATCATTATAAAACACATATGTTATATATAATAGCTTTTGGCACTTTTAGGATAGGTTTCCAGAAATATAAAATGAGTGTGTTTTCTTGCATAAGTCTGTTTTCGAAAAGAATCAAAAATGTTAAGATAACATGTATTAACAAGCTTACATATATATCATATTTATGATACTACGTAAAATATTTAGTAAGAGCTTCCTAAAAATGTAATATTTAATTAAAAATAAAATGTTAGGATAACAAGTAAAATATTTAGGAAGGATTTTCTAAAAATTTTAATATTTAATTAAGTTTATTTTGTTGCTTGGTATCTTCTTGTTTGGCTTAGACATGTTGATATCTTTGGTAGGCTCGTGAATTTGCTTATAACATTGTTAATCTCTTGTTTGTTCTTGTGCTTGCGCTTGTGAAATTGTGTAGTGTTTTTAAAAATTCAGGAAGGATTTATGTAGTTTCAGGAAAGCTTTCCAGAAAATCCAATATTAACAAATTTGATTTTTTTTTTTTGCTTGGTGTCTTCATGTTTGGCTTAGACATGTTATATCTTTGGTAGGCTAGTGAATTTTCTTATGACATTGTTAGTCTCTTGCTTGTGCTTGTGCTTGTGCTTGTGAAACTGTGTACTATTTTTAAAATTTCAGGAAGAATTTGTGTAGTTTCAGGAAAGCTTTCCAGATATTCGATGATAACAAATTTGAATTTTTATTTTTATTTTTATTTTTGTCTTCTTGTTTGGTTTATGCCTGTTGATATCTTTGGTAGCCTCTTGAATTTGCTTATGACATTTTTAGACAATTTCTTGTGCTTGTGAAGCTGTGTAGTGTTTTAAAAATTTCAGGAAGGATTTATGTAGTTTCTGGAAAGCTTTCCAGAAAATTCGATGTTAACAAATTTGAACTTTTTTTTGCTTGGTGTCTTCTTGTTTGGCTTAGGCATGTTATATCTTTGGTAGACTCGTGAATTTGCTTATGACATTGTTAATCTCTTGCTTGTGCTTGTGAAACTGTGTACTATTTTAAAAATTTCAGGAAGGATTTGTGTAGTTTCAGGAAAGCTTTTCAGATATTCGATGATAACATATTTGATTTTTTTTTTTTGCTTTGTGTCTTACTTTTTTGGATTACGCCTGTTGATATCTTTGGTAGCCTCTTGAATTTGATTATGACATTTCTAGACAATTTCTTGTTCCTGTAAAACTATGTGTGTTTTTATTTTGAGGAATGATTTGTATAGTTTCAAGAAAACTTTCCAGAAGATTTGGTGTTAACAAATTTTGAAGTATATATTACGTTTAGGCTCTGTAGCTAACCAGAAGAGGTTAAGAGATAATGGGAGACTCTAGCTTTATGCCTTAGTTAGTTAAGTTTTTTGAACCTGGCTTTGAAAATTGTGTGTGTGAGATGAGCCAGAAGAGTTGCTTTATGTTCCTCAGTGTGACGGTGATGAGTTTGCTTCTGAAAACTTGTGCTGTTTTAAGCTTAGCTTTCTCAAATAACAGGTTGATTTTGATTTCTTCTTTAGATCCCACTTTTATATCCCTACTGGCATATTCATTTGTTGTTTGTTCGCATCTATTGAATGTTTAGGGAAGGGGATCTTTATAGGTAAGTTGGGTGATATGATAATGTCTGAAAACTGTGTGTGTGAAATGAGGAAGAAGAGTTTACTTGTGTTCGTGAGTGTGACTGAGATTAATTTGCTTGGAAAACTTTTGGGATTTTTTATTTTGGTTTCAGGAAGGCGTTGTGTAGTTTCAGGATAGCTTTCCAGAAATTATGATACTATTTGAAAAAAAAAATGGTTTGGTTTACGCAAGACAGGGACACAATGGGAGATTCAGTACCTTAATTACTAGCTCTGCCTGAGCTCAAGTATCCAATTGGATCAAATCCAAAGTGATTGAAGAACATGACCAATTTTGGTTTGCTCATGAGTCTCTTGTTGATTGTGGTTGTGAAACTGTCTAGTGTTTATGAAAATTTCAAGAAGCATTTGTATAGTTTCAGGAAAGTCTTCCAGAATAGTTTGAAATTTTGAAACTTTTTTTCCTTGGTGTCTTGTTCTCTTTAGGCATGTTGATATCTCTGATAGGCTCTTGAATTTGCTTATGAGTCTCTTGCTACTTGTCCTTGTGAAACTATCTAGTGTTTATAAAGTTTTCAAGAAGCATTTGTGTAGTTTTAGGAAAGCCTTCCAAAAATTTGGAAATCTTGAAACTTTTTTCCTTCGTGTCTTGTTTTGTTTAGGCATGTTGTTATCTTTGATATGCTCTTGAATTTGTTTATTAGTCTCTTGTTGCTCGTGCTTGTGAAGCTGTCTAGTGTTTATAAAAATTTCAGGAAGCATTTCTGTACTTTCAGGAAAAGCCTTCCAGAAACTCAGATAGTAACAAATTTTGAAATTTTTTTTGCTTGGTGTCTTGTTCTGCTTAGGCATATTGATACTATTGTTCCTCGTGCTTGTGAAACTGTCTAGTATTTATAAAAAAATTAGGAAGCATTTGTGTAGTTTCAGGAAAACCATTTATGCTCTGCTGTTAGAATCTTTTGTTGATGAGGTTTGATAAAAAGAAGGTGATACCATTTGAAGTTGAGCAGGCACAAGGTTTACCCAAGTAAAAATTCCATTTCCACTGTCGGTTCTTTCTTGTCAAGATTCTCGAGTGCCACTCGTTGAAAATAGGGGATATGTTAAAAATTAAAAATTAAAATGCACGGGAACTAAAGAGAAGATTTTCTTGTGAGATCTTCAACCAGTTTGTGGATGAAAACTTTGGAAAATGAGAAAGATGCACGGAAACTTGTCATGAATATTGATTTGGTTATGTTATTGAATTTTACTGTGGATGGTCTTGAAGTTACATAAGAAAGATCGCAAGGATATCAATTATTTTACTTGTGTATCATAAATAATAATATAGGAAGACATTTCAAGTTTTCCGGATGGGTTTCAAGAAATAAATGTTAAAGTGTTTCTATCTGTAACAAAGTTTAAACTATAAAAAATGAAATGAGATTAAGACCTAAGGATTTGATATCTGAATAATAGGAAAGTTTCAAATTGTGATGTTTTCTGATTTTTTTGAACACAACACTGATCGAACCCGGAGGGAGAGTGTCTAGTGTTTCGGGAGAGTATGAAAGTTTAGCCGCTAGACCGAGGAGAATCATCTGTTAATTGTCAACATATAATTGAGTTTAACTCCCACTTGTGTATCATAAATGTAGGAAGGTATTTCGAGTTTTCTGGATGGGTTTCCAGAAATATATGAAATGATATCTGAAAAATTAAATTTTGTTTTGAGTCCACCACATATCGAACCTGAGGAACCAGAGTCTTTAGTGTTTTGGAATGTTAGATGTTTAGCCGTTGGGCTGAGGAGAATCACATGCTATATGCTTCAACATAAATTTATTTAACCGTAAACTATATGCTTCCACTCAGATGGACTTATGAAGTAAGCTATGTTGTGAGATGTTCGGCCAGTTTATGGATAAAGATTTCCAGGAAGGCAACATGAAGTGAAAATGTCACACTCGTTCTATTTTATACTATGTTTTTGAACTTTGATGGACAAGTAGATGTTTGTAATGAATGATCACTGCAGCGTTTTTATCAATTAGATTGTTATTGAACAAATTTCATGATGTCTAGGATAACATGTGACGCTTTCAGGATGGGTTACGAGAAATAAAAATGTGTATTCTAAACGTTGGAAATAACTTTAAAATTTTTGGATGGGTTTCCAGAATAGTTGAATATTAGTGTGGTTCTCCCTTGAACGCGGACAAGGCCTTTATCAAGCCTGGGAATACTGGCGAAAAACGAAACGTGATCATTGTTTGCAGCAAGATGAAATGGACTGTGCCCGCTTGTGTTGAGTTTTCTAGCAAAAGAGGGCTGAAGATTCAGAATCTCCTTGGCAAACTCTATGTTCCCCGAAGCTGCAGCTACGTGGAGGGGGATGGTCACAAATGGAACTGCATCAATTTTCTCAAGTATGTATGGATTCTCATCAATAAGATCATACAATTGCTGAAGTGCAGGTTTTAAAAGCCATCTCTCCATTATCTGGTTGACAAACAATAAGATTTTCGACATCAACACATAATGCTTTAGAGTATGATGGATCAAAGGCATGCTCTGCATCAACAAGCATTGCATTGCCTCCAAGCTTCTGCACAATCAGCAACTATGTTTCAGAAGATGATTAAAAGATGGAATTATATGATCGAAGTGGTTGACAAGAAGTGTAACCTGCACTTCAGCAATTGCATGGAGTGCTAGCGTGGTCTTGCCACTACTTTCTGGTCCATATATCTGCAGCGGTATCAGATTATAATCAATTTTCTTCTTTTGAATCAAAATTCTCAGCAAGTGCACATACCTCGACTACTCGACCCTTTGGTAGGCCTCCACCTAAGGCAAGATCAAGCGTCAAAACACCACTCGGGAAAGTCTCCCTACAATATAGACAAACGTTACATAGTCATTTTCTTTCTAAAATACAATCTGAAATGGTGGAAGCTAAAACAAAGAAAGAGTATCAAGGTGAGAGATTCTCACACTAAAGCACCAGCAGCACTCCCCAACCTTGTTACACTTCCTTTACCAAAAGAACCATTTATGTCATTCATAGCTGCCTCTAAAGCCTTTTGCTGTAAACAAGCCAAGAAAACACAAAAGCTAGTAAGACAAAGAACACAAACAACAAGAGTGGACTCAGAAACAATGCAAGGGAGCAACAAGCTAAAGAACCAGATGAATGAGAGAAATGAAACTCCTTTTAGTTTATCCATAGACTATTAACCGAACAAGACAAAGCCACTCTGGAAATGTAAGAAACTCTCTATGTCTGAATTACCCATGTCCAAAGGTCAGCACTTTCAGACCAAAATTGTAATAAAATGTGAAAAAACCTTCCAAAAGGTTATGACTTTCCCTTTTCAGCTAACATATACAATTTTCAGAACTTTCAATCAAAAAAACGATTAAGAAGAAGAAGAATAAGGAGTTGCACGGTCGAGGAAGCGGGAATCAGAACCGGGAGAGAAAGCGCCGTTGATTCTCTCATCAAATTCAGAAGGTGTGCTTTGGGAAGTTTTCTTGGCGGCGGTAATGGTGAACGGAGAGGAGAAGCGGCGGGGGTAGTAAGAGGAGAGACGGAGCAGTGGAGAATACGAGTATGGTGAGAAAGGATAGAGGGGACTGGAGCATGGGTTTAGCTTCAGAGACAACAAAAGGCATGAATCCATTTTCTGGGTTTAAGCAGAGAGTCCAAAAGACAGCAGCCGAAGAAGAAGAGCTTATTATATTTCAAGACTTACTAAAATAAATAAAATTCTCTCATTCGCAGCAAGAATCATTGCATCATTGCATCTAGAACTGTTTATGAAATGAACTAAATTGTCTTTGTTACCACCATCGTAGATCAATAGAAACTTGAGAAATTCACAGATTTCTGAAACTTTCAGCAGAGGTGATTATGGCGGAGATGAGAGACGGCAGAGACGAGCGACGCCAGAGACGAGCGATGTCGGAGACGAGTGACGCAGGAGACGATCGAGCGACGGAGACGAGCGATGCGGGAGACGATAAATGGTTCATGATTTCATTTTTAAAAAAAAATATATATATAATTAGAGAAATAAATGGGCATAAAGATAAAGCATCCCTTTAATGAAATGACTTTGGACTTTGGATACTATTTTTGGGACAAAAACTTGGGTTTGTGCTATTTTGATATTTTCTCATAGTTTAATAAATATCAGTAAAAATCAATTTAATCTCTTCAATTTATTGAAATTATCAAAAACCTCGTTAAACATCGAATCACCTCAAAGAATTTCAGCCATCCTTCAAAGATGATGAGGAATAGCCGGCCAACATACACATCCGAAACTTTCTCGGAAGCCCTCACAGTGAAACCCAATGTTCAAGCCCTTCCAGCACCGTGAGTTTTCTATTTTTTGTCCGTTTTCAATCGAAAATTTTAGGGCATATAATCTCTGACTTAGGGCTTATGTTCTTTTATTAAGATTTGTAGCTGTTGCATGAATGAATGATTTCACTGATTAAAGCTTGTAGCTTTCACACTATACCAATGATCAAACCAATGAGATCATGCAGTATAGCTTTTCTTAATATAACCTTAGTTATTTTTATTCTTCCTTTTGCTAATTGTCAGAAACAGTATTACAGGATTGTGGGATATGAATATTCCCACAGATCTCCTACATGAGATACTGTCCCGTCTCAGTTTAAAAGCCAACATACAAGCTTCCACTGTCTGCAAGACATGGTGCGAAGCAGCTGTGTCTGTCAGAAAGTTACAGCCTCACCCTTGGCTTTTTAATCCACTACAAGAACCAGAAGAGGGAAAGTACATTCTTTTTGACCCATCACGGTCTCAAACATATAAGCTTAATTTCCCAGAATTAAAGGGCTGTGCATTCTCTTATTCGAGGGATGGATGGTTACTTGTGGTCACAAATAGACTAGGAGGGTCAGAACCTGGTTTGTTTTTCTTATTTAACCCATTTACCCGGGAGCACATTTACTTACCCAAGTTGAAACCTAAAGCATACTGTTGCTTAGCCTTCTCAGCCGCTCCTACATCAAGTAGTTGTTTGGTGATCTCGCTCAACTACTCTAGGACCCCCTTAAGGACCGCCCCATATATTTTGATTGATACTTGTCGGCCTGGTGAAACCGTATGGACAACACATAGATTTAAGAACAGTTTCCCCTGTCGATGGAACAATTGTGTCTTCTCGAATGGTAAGTTTTGTTTTCTCAATACTCGTGGCGGCCTCGGAGTGTTTGACCCGCCTAGAGCAACCTGGAATATTCTACCAGTGAAACCATGTCGCGACTTTGGTCAGACAGATTCAAGTTTGAGAATGATGATGACGGAGCATGAAGGAGACATATTTGTTGTGTTTACCTCTCGTTATTACACCCCGTCGGTGTTTAAACTAAACCTTAAACGCATGGCTTGGGAAAAGAAGAGAGAGCTTGGTGGTTTGACAATATTTGCAAGTATAGATTCACCTCTTACAAGAGCTAGTCTCTCCGAAAAGGAGAGGAACAGATTATACCAATCACGTAAAGGGGACCTTGGCGAGTACTTTTCCATTAGTGATGAGAAAATTGACTTTTCCCGCCCTTCAAAGGATTATTTTTCTAACCACATGAGTTGGGTGTTTCCTCCTCACAACAACGTTACTTTGTAACTTCATTCTTTATGTTGTCTTAGGAATGACTTTATTTATTCTTTTTAAAACGTTTGACCAAATATATTTATGTTTTGAAACTTTATAGCAGGAAGGCAGGATCATTGTTTGTTTAAGCTGTGGAACTACGCTCTTACTTCTTCATGACCAAAAAGATAATAAGCATGATCAGAAATACGTTAGGATGATATGATCATGTTGGTTTAATATTTAATCAACATTCGATACCAAAATTCAATTTTTTTTCTTTTGTTAACATTCAAGTAGTTGGAATCAAGGTATGACCATATCAAACGCTTTGATAAACTATCTCCAATGATTTCTATGGTGGTGCATTATGGTTTGTCTGAGTTTCAAAACTAAACTACTCTTTACTAGATCATAACTAAACAACAGAAAGTACAGAAACAGAGAATTAAGAGAGTAGAGACATAAACAGAGGTCAACGTTTGAGTAGTCGCTAAATCAAAGAAGAACACATGGATGCAGTGTTTGGTACTGTCTATTGTAGTGAAAAATTCTTATAAAATCGATCTGGTAACTGCAAACTCATATGAGGTTTATCTAAATTATCATTCGCCATGAACCTAATTAGGCCTGGGCATTTTACCCGGACCCGAGGACCCGACCCGGAACCGACCCGAAAATACAGGTTCGGGTCCAGAACCGGAACCGAGAATTTTACCCTATTGGGTCTAGCAATGGAGGACCCGTGAGTAGCAGGTTCGGGTCCAAAACCGACCCGGGACCCGAGCGGGTATAACCAGGAACCGAAAGTTACTATTAGCCTT